CACACATCAGCACAATAAAAGTCTGTATATAAGTCTGTGGCAGTGCTTTTCATTTCACTAGGCTCTGTAGTCAAGCTTCCATCAGGAAGATAAAGACTTAGCATTTGATTCTATTTATTATCACTTATTGCTGCATTATAGCATTTATCAAACCCCATTCCTACTCATGATCACTAGTTTTTCATTCTTTTTTTTTTTTCATTTGGTGTGAATAAACCTCACTTACGCAAAATTATACCACTCGTTTTTGAGTAAAATAAGCACAGTTAATTTTTTTATTTGGGGTACTGTAGACCAGAGCCCATAGAAAAAATGAGTGATTATCAAAGACGGCTAAGCTGCAATGTCAAAGTTTAGCCAAGATACTTTGTTTTGAAACGTTACAAAGTGAATCAGGTTAAAAGCTAAAATGAAACGTGCTAAATAGTGATCTAAACAAAACTTTGCAAACTGCAGAGATTCAGTCACAGTATGAGGCAAAATGAACAGGGCCTCAGAGTAAAACAGAAATAAAATAAACTAAAAATAAAATAATGTATGTTCATGTACAAGTGTCAATGTGTAGTCATAATGGCATGTGACCTGCAAAAGTATTTGCTGCATTTCTTACACATGTTGCTCCATTTTAACATCCGTTGTGGTGCAGAGCTGGGGTCAAAATTATAACCAGGGTTGCCAGGTCTCAACAAAATTTCCAGCCCAATTAAACTGCACTGGTATTGGACTGGTATTGTGTAAAGGGAAGTTAATTTTTCTTTGTTTTTTCACACATGCACAGTGGTACACACAAATTGTTGATTTGCAATATCTACAATAGGTGTTTTTGTCATCGCCTAGTACGGACATTATCCACTCCTTAACCCTTCTTTCCCTCTCCCTATCTTTACAATATTGCACGAATTACACATTCTCCTTTTTTTTTCCCACTATAGCCTATGTTTGCGAGGATTTATTAGATTTAATTCCAGTTATCCCCCCCCCCCCCAAAAAAAAAAAAAAAAAGCCATCCACAGACTTGACCTCTGCCCACTTGACCATAGATTGATTTTCTCTACTGCCTAAGAAAGGATTAGTGCTATCCTTGCATTACAGTTTGACCCATTAGAAGGAGACTACCTTCATTCACTGTGTCTGTTTTCAAATGTGTGTGTGTGTGTGTGTGTGTGTGTGTGTGTGTTTGGCAGAGTGAGAGAGGCAGCATAGTAGCATGTAACAGCCCTTACTAAACTTGCCAATTTGTCTGTAGGCTGAATCAAATTGGGTATCAATAGCATTGGCAGCACTGTGTGTGTGTGTGTGTGTGTGTGTGTGTGTTTCGCACTGGGAGAAATTACTCTTCACAATCAATCAAGGCTGCAGCTGTGACTTGATAATTACCTTCCACTCTATAAGGAAAGCCCCAGCATTATCATGATGGCATAAAACCCTGAGGACATTATATAAACACGAATCTACACATGAACAATGCAAGGGCAGTTTAAAGGTGAGGAAATATGCCTCAATGATGAGGAAGTGATTTTTTCGATGTGGACTTGGGAATAATATTTACATTTTGCATACACATAGACAACATACATGGTTTTAGACTTATATACAAAATGTTTCTACCATACTGAATTAAACCTGCTCATAAAATTTGTTCAGATTACACATCCAGTATGATTGGAATGCACACACACACACACATACACACACTTTCTACTGGCCTACCCCCAGTTCTTAGGCAGGCTAAAGGAAATCAATAAGAGGAGAGCGAATCACTAAGCTCTCTTTGTCTCATTCTCCCTAAACGATCAGCAGGACATAATAACAAGTGACAGAATCTAAATATTTCCCTAATTCAACACACACACGAAAACCAAAAAGTGTTTGCTCAGAGATCAGAGACATGTTTGGGAGGATATGTTCAAATGGAGGTGTAAGCCAAGATACACCTCTGGCTTTTCCGCATGAACAATTAACTTGTATCTAACCCTAACCCTAATAATAATAATAATAATAATAATAATAATAATAATAATCATCTTTGTTTTAATATTAGTAAGTCAAAACAGTTTATATGATAGAGGCACATTAATGAAACAATTTAACTAATGAGACAATATAGTTTTTTTTAAAAAGATATATCACAAGCTGAAGGACTTATGAACT